TCACGCTCTCCGAACGTATACTATTGGATTGGTTGAAAATGAGTGCTCCAACCAATCGCGGCGTGCTAGAGTGAGACAGCAAATACCGAGATATTTTCTGTCTCTCTCGCACACTCAGCCACACTTTTCTCAATGACAAGCTTCCTCCAGTTGTATATGCTTGAAGATCACGCTCATCAAATTACAATCGGGAAGCGGGTAGGTAAGATTGTGAACACGATCTAGTACAGATACAAAATACAGTTCGTGTTTGCACTTTCTTTACAGCATTATTTTCAGTATTCACTAAGATTTTTTTGATACATCCTTTAGATACAAAACTGTAAGGATTAAGGATCGGTGTAACCAGACTAATAAAAAACAAAAACTCGGATACAAAAGGGATTAATATTTATTTAATAACAAGCAACAACACAATAACTTATTAAGTAATTCACTAAAAACTATCCTAATAAAAAAATATCTCATCCAAAAATATTCTTGTCTACCAAAAATTGTGTACATGTTAAAAATAATGTAACAAAAAACAAAATAATGCGAGAACAAAATATTTATTGGAGGTTTTAAGAAAAAAATATTTGGAATTAACATCGATTCTTAACGCTTTATATTCCAAATTTAGGCAATGGCATTGCTACAACACGTAAAGTTAGGCTTAAACTAAGATTTTTAAGAACAAAATATATCTATGCTGACCTCCCGATTACTCACAATGACACTTTACACACAAAATTACAGAGTAGCAAAATACTCACAAATGTGAGGAATTACTCACAAATTGCCTACCCTGGGCCAAAATTTAAAGATGGGTTGTAATTTAAATAGAGACCCATATTGGGTTGATAGCGAACAAAAATTAAACGGCAGAATGTCCCGAAGTTTACCTTAAATTGTAAAAGGAGTGTCAAAGTAAAATAATGAATTGCAAAATATATCAAAATGTTTACAATAGTACATTTAGTACTAAAAAACGAATGTTGATTTTTTTTTAAATTGCCGGACAAGATAATTGGATTAATAGGAATGAAATCTTGAGACAATGAGAACCCAACAGTCGATTTTAAAAATTTTCCATTCTCTATACCAGTGTTTCTCAAACTTTTTCGAATGTGGAACCCTTTTTCGTTTGGAAGGTAAGCATGGAACCCTACAATCTTGATGCAAGTTAAAGCGCTGCAGCTGTGGAATGCGAACCTTTCTTTGTACATCAACTGAGGTCGCCTCATTGACTCCCTAGGCTTGGTTGTTAGCAAAGAACAATTGCATTTATGACGACTCTTTATGCTTCAACATGTGATATTTTATGCCACCCCTGTATTTGGATTTATAATCGCAGTTGCTACACCTGTACATCTGAACCTGTGAAGGATCTTTATGTTTCAGTTGGTGCTGTTTGATATAACACTTGTATTTGGTTTCGTATGTGCAGCTGTTACACTTGTACATTGGAATCTGTGAAGGATCTTTATGTTTCAACTGATGCTTTTTGATATTCCTCTTATATATAGTTTCGTGATTGCAGTCGTCACACCTATATATTTAAACCTGTGAATGATCTTTATGTTTCAGTTGGTGCAGTTTGATAGCAAACTTGTATTTAGTTTTATTATCCCGGTCGTCACAAATGTACATTGGAACCTGCGAAGGATCTTTATGCCCACCAGGTGCCTCTGAAGTAATTTCTTATTTTCAGTTTCATACTCGCACGATTCACATTTATACACTTCCAAATCGTTCTCGTGTCTCGCACAGTGTGCCGTAAAACGGATCTCACTTCAAGTTTCGTAAATGCATTCATCACATTTGTACAATCCTTTGTCGTCTTGCTTGACTTTCATTTCTGATTCATTCTCATGTTTACATCCATCCTCTTCATCTTTGCAGTCATTCTCCTCGAATGGTACAATATGGGAGCTCTGCAGTAGCGTATCACTAAAAAATCAATCAATTATAAGTTTATGAACTCCACAAAGCATTACTTCATTTTTATTACAGTGAAATAATTTTCCTGCTGCTCAAATAGTGCAATAAAAAAGTGTAAAGTTGTAATAAGACCAGGAATTTCGTTTTTGGACATTTTATTGATAAGAAATTTAGATCAACCAGTTGTGACTTTTGGTAATGCAAGTCTGTAGCTGGCAATCATTGTACTTAAACCTATTAGTTCTGGTAGGCTTTTGTACTGTCATTCCGTTCACCCTTTACATCAGAAGATACAAATTATGAAAGTCACAAACAACAAAATTCAAATATCAAGTAATACCAGAACAAGAATACTAGTTAATTTATGCAAAAGCTAAAATGTAACGATTATCCTGTTTCCCTTTTTCTTCTTTTCCTTCTTTCTCTCAGAGTTTAATTATCAAAAAAGGCATTTGCAGGATGTTAAGTTTAAAGTCGCACAATAAATCCATAAACAAAAAGCCAGATACAGATAATTAGTACAATCTACAATGACATTATTAATAAATTCATTAAATTTTAATCAAATAATAACACCCAGTACATCAGCTTCTTTCGTTAGTTAACATGTTTTACCTTTCGAATTTTTACTGGTACCTTTTGGTTCGCATTACGTCACATTCCACAGAATTAAGTTGCATTGTATTGTATTACATTGCGTAATACTGCATTAACCTTCATTATGCTGCTTTACTATGCTTTACTATTGCTTTATTATGCTTACTTTAACTTACGTTATGTTGAGTTACGTATGCATTACGCTCAATTTATTGATTTTCTTAACACATACCTGACGTATTGAAAATTTTAAATAATGCAATCATTCAAATAAGCAGTACTCGTACTGTCCTATTATTACTCTTGACAAAGATTAATCACATAAGAAAACTCATTTTACTTGGCACTGTTCCATCAGGTCCCTTCTCGTATGGAAATAATAAATATTAACAGACAAAAATTATGTACAAACACCAAACTTTTATAAAAAAACTACATTTTGAAATGACTGCCAGAAGCTTTGAACATGGGATTTATTATAATTGTTTATTAATCCAAAAAAATATGTGCCCTTTTTATTATATATTTTTTTTAATTAATTCTCGCATTTTGGACTCTATTTTAAAGCTAATTCAAACAAATTTTTTTATTTTTAATCTGGTCAAATCAAGTCAAACGATGTTTTCCTTTCGCATTCCTGGATTTCTAGTATCTCGAAGGACATTACTTGATTCATTTACTAAGAAAAAAAAAATTTCATAGTGGTGGTCATGGTTACCGGCGCACAGCAATGAAAGACGGAGTGGGAGTAGCATGTATTTACCATGTAGTTTGAGCTCTGTTTAGTCCGACTGTAACCAAATGGTAGTTATTCACGGCTTTTTTTCATAATAAACGTAATTTATTTAGGTGTGGTGTAAAATTTTGTTATTTACGTATGGCTTCTTGTGTATTTTTGTAAAAATTTAAATAGGTTGTAAAGGCAGATTAACAGTAATGCTATCTATTGATAAATCAATGGTGCAAGAAATATCAACCTTTAATGGAAAAGTAATTGAAAAGTTTATTGCGGACAAATACAGAAGAACGGACTTTCACTATAAAAAATATTACTGAACACATTTTCCCCAATATTTCAATAGTACTTAAAATAAAACTGCCCAATTATATTTAAAAAATTTTTTTCGATAATTTCTACATATTTTTCCCCCCTCCCTCGTATGGAAATCTAGAGCCGCCACTGTGTTGGCCATTTGGATTTCGTGCTTTTTTTCATATCAAATCTTCTGTGCTTTTAATGATCCCTAGATTGTATTTATACAAAAATATTCCAATATATTTTTATTGTCACACGATTAGTTTTAGAATCGTTTTCGATTTATGCCGATTGTGTAATAAACTTATTTTGAGATAAAAAAACAATAATCTGGAATTAATTCGTTTTTCAAAATTGAAGGGATACCTCTTCAATAAAAATCAACTGAGAATTAAGTGAACTAATGAAATTTACAAAATATTCATCGTCATCAAAACAGTGACCTTCTTATCGGTATCCCCACTATTTCCGCCATTGGTTATGCAACGGTTTTGATATTACGGTATTTTGTAGAAACTTGACCCAATGTAAGGTACACCAAATTTAATTCAAATATCTCTACTATTTCCAAAATGGTTGAGATTTCGAAATAAATATGTGACAAAGTATTACCAGTATTCAGGTTCTGTCTGCTGCCAAAGTTCGAGAAATTAAAATTGAGACAATAGTGAAGTCAACAGTTCTCACCAGCTTTGCATCATAAAAATCGTGTATTGTCATATTGTGAGAAACAGGAAAAGTGTACACTTTTCAATTGCTAGTCCAAATTCACTTGTCGGCCTCCGTTTTGTCAAGATTTCATGTTTCAGCAGATGAATTTCAAGAGAGGCGTTATATTCATATGCCTCCATTTCTACAATATTTTGCACGAAGAACGAAGGGTAATAATTCACACCTGCAAACCTTTATTTGTGCATCAATTGAGGTCTCCTCAAAGTTTCCTAATGCTCGGTTGAAGACTCTTTATGCATCAACATGTGACATCCAATACCGCTCTTGTAATTGGTTTCATAATCGCAGTAGTTACACTTGTATGTTTGAACTGGCGAAGGATCCCTATGCTTCAATTGATGCTGTTTAATACCATTCTTGTATTTAGTTTCGTAGTTGCACTTGCTACACTTATACATTTGCACTTGCGAAGGATCTTTATGCTTCAGTTGGTGCCGTATGATATAACTCCTGAATTTAGTTTCGTAATCGCAATCTTTACACCTGTACATTTGAACCTGCGAAGGATCTTTATGTTTCAATTGGTGCTGCTTGATATATCGCTTGTATATAGTTTTGTAATCACAGTCGTTACACTTGTACATTTGTTCCTGCGAAGGATCTTTATGTTTCAGTTGGTGTCGTTTGATATTCTGGGTGTATTTAGTTTTAAAATCACAGTCATTGCACCTGTACATTTGATTCTGTGAAGGATCTTTATGCCCCAACATTTGCCTATGCAGTAATTTGTTATTTTCTGTTTCACACTCGTACGATTCACATTTATATGCTTCCAAATCGTTCTCGTTTATCGTAAGACAGATCTCACTTTCAGTTTCGTAAATACATTCATCTTTACAGTCACTCTCCTCGAATGGTACGATATGGGAGTTCTGCAGTAGCGTATCGCTGAAAAAATTGGAGGTTTATAGGTGACATGTCAAAATAATGCATTTAAAAAAAGTGACTAATAAACGACCATATTTACATTTGAAGGAAATGAGACATGTGTCGCTGGCTCCGTAATTATTAATTATACATTTGTATCACCGTACCAAAACAACTAAGTGTCATTTTTAACGTGATCAAGCTTAGATTTGAATCAACTAGAGTACTAATACCATAGTTTTAATTTCAATGATGAATCGAGTCAGATTTTTGATAACGAATTTAATAATTAAAAAGACATTAGCGAAATGCTATCTATAAAGTCACTCAATAAATCCATCAACAAAAATTACAGATAATTTTGGGTACAATCTAATAGATTTATTCAATTTTAATAGAATAATAACACTCTGTATATCATCTTAAAAGACGGTACTGCTATATCAGTTACGTAAGTGATATTTTCCATTTTATCCTGAAATGTTTTGTCAGTGCGTACAGTCAGGTCCAAATATAATTAAAATATTTATATGAGTATAAATCAGTATTGCTTGTAATATGTACGTACGGGGTGATTGATTTTTGATAGTTTTATAGGGTACAGCCAAAACGGTGATAGATACAAAAAATCTGATATCGATGTCCCACTTTCTTCCTTTGAGTTTACTTCGCTGGTACCGAAAGATCTTGGCTAACTTGGTTAGTTTTAGGTATACAGGGTTTTTTTGAAAAATTGCCCATTTACATTAACCTCTTAAGGTATTTTTTTTTAATTTGAATTCTACCAATATTTGTTTCGATCCGCTCGAATTCTATCACACGTCTGGCTCTTTTTTGTTTTTTTTTTAATTAGCTGTCCACTTAGTGGCTACAAAATAGTACACACAAAGGTATCTATTATTTGGGGTTTAAACTAGCAAATGATCTCTATTTGTTTGAATCTATTTTAATGGATTGGCTTAAACATTCTGTAAGAATGACTTAATATGCGTATAAATATGATTTTCTTCTTGCAATCCGCTTACATAACCATTAATCGTTTTGTAACTCGGTCAGAGATCTATCATTTTCATTCCAAAATAATTTCGATTTGTCAAAAGAAAAAAAAATTTTGAAGGAATAAAATCTAGTATAGCATTCTTTGTACCAATATCTGATTTAAAGCTATACCGATTGTTTTATAATGATCTTAAATTTTTTCCCCAGTAACTTAATGGTTGTATAAAAATATATACAATTTCGTTTATAGCCGACGTAATCTCATAATTTGTTACAATTAGCTTACCACCAGATTCTTTTTTAATCATATAAATCACGAAACGTCAGAACCACAGGCTGCAATTTTTTAAATTAATGTCTTCTCTTACCTCCTTTCCTCATCTTCCGATTTTATGTCGATACTTTCAGCTTTGATGGACATTTCCATCCCGTTGATATCAAATTCTTTGTCCACGTTTTCAGTCTTAACAATTAAATCAAGTAGAAATGTATCTATCCGACTTCCTGTGGCTGAGCTATTGAAATTACTTTTAATTTTTTCCTCTACCTCTAAGCAATCTTTTAGAAAACTGTCGTGAGTACGCAGAGAATCAAAGCATAGCTTACAAACAACAGGATCCTTGACGATATTTATATTCTACAAAACAGTTTTATTAATTTACAAAATATTCAAGTATTTAATATCGTTGATACCATTTCAGGAGCCAATTTCTCAATAGCTTCAAGTTCCTCTTCACGTATGCACCTAAACTCACTTTTTACTGTGTGCATACACAATCGACATATTTTTTGACTGCCAGAAATTTCAACTAACTCGTTTTTCTTTTCCTGGATGTACACTTGTCTTAAGTCGAGCTGTAATTTTTTTCCGCTGTTCACATAAGGAATAATTGTGTTGTTGGTATTCAGACACATTGACTTAAATTCTGAGGCTGTATTTAACTTTCTTCTGCAAACGTTACATATAACCTCTTTGTTCTCGTTATCAAATTTCTGAAAAATATGCAGCTTTAATCAGGAAGACAATAACTGTGGCGTAAAATACCAAAAGCTGCTTTACATTTGAGGCCGTTAATATCTAATCTAATTATAATTCACCGACTTACCAATTTCAGCAAAAGACCATCTAGAATATCTCTAATAACGTTGTCTATCACTTCAAAACATTTATCGGTTATATATTTAAGGCAAAGCCTACACGAAGTTTCCTTAACATCACTCATTGCTTTGCAACAATATTGTTTTTGTTTTTAGCCACTTCTAACCTTTTTGGCTTCTGGCAGCAAAGCACATAATAGAATAACATATTCTGTGAGCATAGAGTAAGGTTAATAGAGATGGGAGATAGAAGAAACGACACTGATCCGGCTCACTGCGGGGCACTTCCCTTTCGTTGGAGTAATTCCACACCACAGTCGTTCCATGATATACATGCCATTTGTTTATGCGCAAGAGCTCGAAAATGGTCGAAAATGGCCGTTTTTTTTCAATTGCTAATAATTAATGCAAATTTCATCGCATACACTTGTAATTCAAGATTCTTGAGGCTTTTTACACCATTAATAAGTGGTAAAAATTTCAACCCGAAAGCTTCATTGGTTTGGAGTTGATGGAATTTGTTATATAAGAATATGCTAGACCGAGTAATAGAACGCATCGCCGCTATCTTCTTTTTTGCAATTAAATAGTTGAATTCGCCTTAATGTTAATGTAAGGCATGAAAATATAGCTCTTAATGTACACTCTCTCCAAATTTCGGCTCTTAATAATTAAGGACGCTGCGATTAAATAAAAAAAATTGTCAGCTTCTAATCAACTTGGAACGATTTTTTTTTAAATTCGAGGAAAAATAGTACTAATTAAACTATAGACGTTACTATTTCAATTTATAATAATTCCTGTCTTAACAATTTAATAAATATTAACATTTTTTCAGTCATTTTTGAACAAATTAAATTTGAAAAATTAAATTCTCAGTAAATGCATGTCGATACAACTATTTAGGTACAAAAAGAACTTGGCAATGATCGAAATTCTACAACGCCTTTGAGCTTGGGAAAAATCAATTGAAAATAGCATCTTCTTAGATAACAAATTCCGCCAAAGGCAAACTAATGAAGCTTTCGGGCTGAAATTTTTACCACTTATTAATGGTTAATTAAAAAGCAATTAAAAAGCCTCAAAAATCCTGAATTACAAGTGTCTGCGATGAAAATTGTATTATCAGTAATTGAAAAAAACGGCAATTTTCGACCATTTTTGAGCTCCTCCGCATAAACAAATTATGGGAATTTAATCGAACTTGTCTTATTTTACAGATTTATTTAATACCTACCTTTTTGTATAAATCTTTTCTCTCTATGAATAACAGTTTTTTATGCGAGTCAGAAAAACCACTTTTCCATAACTTTGACCATTATTTTAACAAAGTTTCCCAAATAGTGAATTGATTTTTTGATATTTTGTTTATAACACGTTTCTGAATAATATTCCACAAGAAAACTTCTAATTGTATTTTTTCCCGAAAAAAAGCTATGACTGGCTAGTTTTGAAATCGCAATAGTTACACCTGTACATTTGAACTTGTGAAGGATCTTTATGCTTCAGTTGATGTCCTTTCATATGCTTGCCGTATTTAGTTTCGCAATCGCAGACGTTACACCCATACATTTAAACCTGTGAAGGATCTTTATGCTTCAATAGGTGTAGCTTAATATGGCTGCTGTATTTAGTTTCGTAATTGCAGTCGTTACACCTTTACATTTTCACTTGCGAAGGATCTATGTTTCAATTGGTGCCTTTTGATAATATATTTGTATTTAGTTTCGTATGAGCAGTCTTTACACTTGTACTCATTCTCGTGCGAGCGGTCGAAGTGAGCGGACGTGTTTATTGTAAAGTGAAGTGCATTGCAACGAGCAAGATCCGTTTCTTTCCTCTTAACCACCGACCTAATCCCCGGCTCAAGCATAGAGGCCGTCGGCATCTTTGTTACAGGTATATGTGCCGGGGTTATGCCCAGGTAAGTTTTTACTTTATTTATCAGTTATTTGCATTATTTTTGAATACATTTCTTTAAAATTGCGACCCCCGACAAACAATATACCAGACAGACTAATACACCAAAAGACACGTACGCCCCCGTAAGGGGGCATCCCCACACGACTAAAACCTACACACCCTCACACACACGCACACACACACACAC